CACCCCACTCAGGTTTGAAATGGTTTAGTTGGGTGTTTGGTTATTGGGTTTGACAGAGGCAGCCCTCCTTAGAAGCTGGGAGTATCCAGGGGTTTGATGGAAGGCTGGATTTTACAGGGGCATTAAATACCAGCAGGATCTGATCGGGAGGATCTACTGTCATGTAAAGGACACGTTGTCTTTACCACGAAATATTAAAGACTCCAGCTGGCGCACCCCTGCATTTTAGCAAATTATGTTGTAATATAGTCATGATGGGGAAGTTTGTGACACAGGGATGGGAGGAAGGAGTTTATTTTTGGACAGGAATGGAGAAATATAATGAAACTGTGGAGAAGAAGGAAAACAAGAAGGTTGTGGCGTCAGCACAAAGGAAACAGGGAGACGATCAGGGGTCTTGGAAAGAGGCTTTTGCTGGGTGCGAGGTCAGTCATAAGGGTGTGCCAGTTATACGGTTATACGGTTATATATTAAATGACTCTTTTTGTCTGTAATGGCCAGTTGTCGGTTATATATTAAATGACTCTTTTTGTCTGTAATGGCCAGTTGTCATTAGCCGTACAGCTATGATCCTTCCACTGTGGGTTGAATCAGAAGCAGTCTGCCAGGGATTCAGTCCTAATAGAGTCGGGGGGGCGGGGGGGGGGTAAGACGTCCACAGAGACTTTGAGAGGCAGAGTGTCTTTTTACTTAAAGCTCACTGTGCTTCCCCTGGGACACCCTGGCTTGTGGATATTGAAGGCTGTCTCGGTGGGGGGCGGTGGGGGGCTGCATCAAAGGGCCAGTCAGGTCCCCCCCTAGGGAACTACGTTCACCGCGGGCTGTCCTCCTCAAGGTCCTGACACTGTAAATCAAGATGCTTCTCCATGTATGTGCCCCCCCACCAGACGTCAATCAGGGTGAACTGGGTTCACCTTATCCTGGGCGAGTTTTTTCGGCCATGCCCCTGATACCTCGCTGGAGCTCCAGGACACGGTGCTGGGGCCCCTTCCTGCCTATGGAGCTTTTCACCCACCACTAGTACCTCCAGAACCCGGTGCACCGTTTGGTCCGGGAAAGCCGAGACTTAAGCCCTCCCCCAACTGCCCCCCACCCCCGACACAGTAACAGGAGCTCCCTTCACAAGGAAGAACACCGTGCCCCCCCACCCATCCTGAGTAATGATGCTTGCATTCGACCCAGAAACCATCCAGGAGAGAGGACCCTCTTGCCTAAAATGATGGTGGTCTTGTGGTGCGGCTGATAAATCCTACAGGCCAGTGTTTCTGAATCCGGTCCTTGGGGTCCCTGCCTGTGGTCCAAGTTTTTTCTCCTTCCCCAGCTCCCTGCCAGACAGTACACATTTTTGAACTGGGAGGGAGCAAAAATGTGGACCTCCTGGGGGTGCCCAAGAACTGGGTCCAGAAACACTGCTGTAGGTGATGTAGGAAGCTGCCAAGGGCACCATCTTCGGGGGCCCGACTTGTCCGCCAGGTTCACTTTGCCTTGGACAGGGGGTGTTCTCATGTCTAGGGGTCCAGTAACAGATCCAGTGGATCTTGATATCAAGTGGAACATGGTCACCGTTGGCATCCTCCTGCATGGACGCCAATGGTTGGTCAGTGTCTCACAGATACTCTGCTCCTGTTTGGCGTTTTGCTTTTTACTGACGTTTAGTGAATGCAAAATCAGGCTGGATCAGGATGGTTTTAAATGAACCCCATCTTTCAGTTTCTTTTTATTCACGACAGGTTAAAATGATTATTATTTTAATTATTCATTGACCTGTGATCAACTAGTATCCCAGGCCAAGAAGATCTTAATGCTGCACTTTCTGCTGATTTGAATAGTTGTCTTATTAGGTTCTTGCCTCGTTTGCAAGACACTGTGTAGCTCTTGCTCCAGTGCTGCTTACGCTTGTACCTGGACATTCACTGGCAGCTCAGCCTGGCTGCACTTATGCCCAGTCGACTCCATGGCATCCCTATGTTTGCAGTGTGCCATTTGCTCCACTGCATCATTTTGGAGAAAAGCATCTGCCTAACAAGTCATTTAAATCTACTTAGAAGATCCGTCTCCCCAGCTTGGACTTCATGCACGTAATTGTCCATGGATCCAAGGCTCAGGGTGAGAGCGAGGTTCCCTCTTCCCTGGGAGGGAACTGGCCCCATTTCGCCGCAGTTCCTGACCCCCGATGCTCCCAGCTGGCACCACTGTTGGCTTCATCAACCCGCTCTTCAGAGCAGCCTCTGAGGGCACGGTGAGGTGACCTCCTCAGATATTTACAGTCAGACTTCTGGGAAAAGCAGGTTGTATTGCCATGCTGGCTGCTGCAGTCTCTTTAAGGCTACAGTCATGGTCGGGTCTCCATGGATATGTTACCAGGTGAGGGATGCCCGTCCTTCTCATTAAAAGGTTGATAAAAAAGATAGAAACGATGACCTCACCCTATAGTCTCCACCAACAGGCTTCCAGTAAAGACTCAGACCGCTACTGGGTCAGAACCATCCGGCCAGGCTTTGGGCCCTCTGATGGACCCCAGTATACCTGGAGAAGGCAGGGGTGGGATGGACCAGTCCTGATTCATTTCATGGGCTTAACATCAACAAGAGTCAGGTCTTAACAGCAGGCAGAGGAGGCCGGGGCATTATGTGGTAACGCATCCCATAATAAGGGGGGGGGGGGGCTGAGCACCGCTGTTCCATCTTAAGCCAATGCATCGATTTTCCTTTTAATGCCATTCCTGACAAACAGCGACGGCGCTGAAAAATGGCCTTTGCAGTTTCCCATGTTCCAGCACTTACTTTTAATCACTTTTAATTGTCTTTTGCTGAAAGATGGATGTTTCCCTTTTTTTCTCTTAAATCTTCCTCTGCCTCATCGTTTCCCCTCCTAGTCCGCGTGTCAAACCTGTGCGAGGAGAGGTTCAGACCCCTTCCTCCCTGTCCCTCGTGGCATCCTGCCAACCCCATAATCGAGTTAGAACTATTTCTGAGGGACCTGGTCACCACATGCTGTAGGTGGTCCTCTGTGGGTAATGTCTGTATGCATGCAGGTCTTCTAGAAATCACCCCAAAGGATCCTACATTCAGGAATGGTAGAAGATGCCATTTCAGCCAAAGTAAAGTCTGGCTTTTTTAGTGTTATTTTGCTAACTACAGTATAACCCGTATTGATTCAAACCAAATCTTGTATTTTTCCTGTCTTAACCGTGGCTGTTTTTTATTTCGCTCACTCACCTTCTGTATAATCTTTCTGATGGCTTGAACTCTGCCATTTCAAGAAAGTTCTGTAACATTTATGGAATGGCATTCCAGCATTAACTTACCCATAGAACTGGGATGTGTAGTGAAAAATATATCTGTTGGCTAATCTGTGAAGAGATTGGCATCGGTGTCACATGACCTGGGCATTGGCCAATCAGCCAGCAGATTAGGTCAGAGCATAGAAAGCAGCGGATGTTAATGTGTCACCAGCAAGGGGTGCTGTGTCAATAACAGCCAGGTCTCTCCCTCCACCATGGAACTGTACAACTGTATTGACAGGCTTCTGGATTTCAACCAACCATTTGTCATTCCTCGAAGCTTCCTGTTTTCTCCATGGATCAAAGAGACACTAATAGCCAGGACAAAAAATCTACCCCAGCATATAGAGAGCCGTAAACTCTGCTGGATGACACTGTTAATACGCTTTGTGTACAGCATTTATGGAGCAGAAAGAATAGGTAACCACAGATCTGTGCTAGTGGGAAATGACCATGCCAAATCGCTGCAAGTGGTGCCGTATGAACTGCTGTGTTACCTGGGGGGTGTGGAGAGCATGACGCTGGGTGAGTGTTGGTGCCACTTATCTAGGCTGTGGGGGGATGCCAGCGTTTCAGCATATTCTTTGGTCCTGATTGATGGAAGGAGTTTGCTGCCTTTGTTGCCATTGTACCTCCGGATGTCCTGTTTTTTTAATGATGCAATTCCCGTACCTCATGGCTTCACAGCCACGTACAGTGGTCTAGGTGTCCTCTAAATCTGGGGTAGGCAATCTTATCCACAAAAGCCACGCCCCCAGACCTCAGCCCAAGCTACATGCCCATACCTTAGTCAGAGCCACGCCCCCAGACCTCAGCCCAAGCTACATGCCCATACCTTAGTCAGAGCCACGCCCCCAGACCTCAGCCCAAGCT